TTATATGTACCGGGGATTCAAAAGAATCTTGTGTCTGAAATTGTTTTAACTAACTGTGGTTATAAACAAGTGTTAGAAAGTGACAAGTATATATTGTCAAGACATGGTTCTTTTATGGGATTTGGATATGTATGCAATGGAATGATTAGACTTAATATTAATTATCCTTTTATTGATAATTTTTTTGCATGGCTTCTACTAGTACTAGCAATAATTTTAATAAATCTGAATTATGGCATGCTAGACTAGGACACATTCATTACAAGAGATTAAAAGACATATCTAAAATGAGTTTAATTCCTGCTTTTGATATGCAAAATAATGAAAAATGTAAAACATGCATGCTAACTAAAATCACTAGACAACCTTTCAAAGATGTTCTTAGGGAAAGCAAGGTGTTGGATCTTATACATAGCGATTTATGTGATTTCCATGCAACACCTTCTCTTGGAAACAAAATGTATGTTGTTACTTTTATTGATGATGCATCTAGATATTGTTATGTCTATTTGCTATATTCTAAGGATGAAACACTTGATAAATTTAAAATATATAAACAATAAGTTGAGCTTCATAAAAATGAATTAATAAAAGTCTTGCATACTGATAGAGGTGGTGAGTATTATGATCCAGTTTATTTTGAATCAATTGGAGTAATACATCAAACCATAGCTCCTTATACACCACAACAAAATGGTGTATCTGAAAGGAAGAATAGGACTTTGAAAGAAATGGTTAATTCCATGTTGTCCTATTCTGGATTAAGTGAAGGGTTTTGGGGCGAGTCAATGTTAACTAGATGTTATAATTTGAATAGAACTCCAAATAAAAGGAGTAAGAATACTCCTTATGAACTTTGGTGTAAAAAGGTACCAAATTTGAGTTATCTCAAAGTTTGGGGCTATAAAGCAGTTATAAGGCTCACTGAACCTAAAAGGAAAATAGTGGGTGAGGAGGTGTAGATTGTATCTTTATTGGATATGTTGAGTATTCCAAATCATATAGATTCTATGTTATAGAATCTAATGACTATGTATCTGTAAACACTGTGATAGAGTCAAGAGATGCTATTTTTGATGAAGAAAGATTTATATCTATACCTAGACCAAGGGACATGATTCATCAATCTTATAGCAAGAGTACTAATTAAGCTGAAGATGTTTATGGTGGTGTAAGTTTTGTACCTGAACCTAGGAAAAGCAAAAGAGTTAGAAAAGCTAAGTCTTTTGGATCTGATTTTCAACTTTATCTAGTTAAAGGAACAAGGAATGAGACTATATCTCAACATTAGTATTGTTTTAATATTGAGGAGGATCCAAAGACTTTTAGTGAAGCTATGACATCTTGGGATGTTCATTTCTAGAAAGAAGCAATTCAGGGTGAGATTGATTCTATCATGCATAACAATACTTGGGTATTATCAGATTTACCTCCTGGTTGCAAGGCATTGGGAAGTAAGTGGATCCTTAAAAGAAATATGAATGTGGATGGCACAACTGATAAGTATAAAGCTAGATTGGTTATTCAAGGCTTTAGGAAAAAAGAAGAAGGCATTGACTTCTTTGATACTTATGCTCCTGTTGCTAGAATTTCCACTATTCGATTATTGTTAGCTCTTGCAGCTATACAAAATCTTATGATTTACCAAATGGATGTGAAAAATGCCTTCTTGAATGGTGACTTAGATGAGGAAATTTACATGAAACAACCTGAAGGGTTTGTTATGCCTGGAAATGAACACGAAGTGTGCAAGTTGAAGAAATCATTATATGGTTCGAAACAAGCACCAAAACAATGGCATTAAAAGTTTGATGATGTTGTCTTGTCTAATGGTTTTGCATTAAAACAAGCTGACAAGTGTGTATACAGCAAATTTGATACTTCTGATAAAGGAGTCATTATTTGTTTATATGTAGATGATATGTTAATTTTTGGTACTGATTTAGAAGAAGTTGATAAAACCAAGAAATTCTTATCATCCAGTTTTGATATGAAAGACATGGGGAGGCTCAGGTAATTATTGGTATAAGAATTAGAAAAGGAAACAATGTGATTTCAATTTCTCAATCTCATTGTATTGAGAAGATATTGAAAAAGTTTAACTTTGAGAATTGTTCTCCTTTTAGCACTCTTATAGATCCTAGTCTTAAGCTTCTACCTAATAAAGGATCTCTAGTGTCTCAACTTGAATACTCAAGGGTTATTGGTTGTCTAATGTATGTCATGATTAGTACCAGGCCAGATATAACATATGTTGTAGAAAGGCTTATTAGATATATTGGTAATCCTAGTTCACATCATTGGCAAGCAGTGAGTAGAGTATTCAAGTACTTGAAAAGGACCATAAATTATGGTTTAACTTATAGTGGATATCCTTCGGTTTTGGAAGGTTATTCAGATGCCAGCTGGATTAACAACTTAGAGGATCACTCATCTACTAGTGGTTGGGTGTTTCTTCTTGGAGGAGGTGCCATTTCTTGGGCATCCAAGAAACATACTTGTATTACTAACTCAACCATGGAATCTGAGTTTGTTGTATTGTCTGCTGCTGGTAAAGAAGCTGAGTGGCTAGGGAATTTGATTTATGAAATTCCACTCTGGCCAAAACCGATATCTACCATTTCTATCAAGTGTGATAGTGTTGCAGCCTTGGCTAAGGCTTATAGTCAAGTGTACAATGGGAAGTCTAGACATTTAGGTGTTAGACATAGCATGATTCGTGAGCTCATCATGACTGGTGTGATATTTGTGGAGTTTGTAAGAACTCAGTTGAATTTGGGCGATCATCTAACCAAAGGGTTAGCAAGAAATCTTGTGTACAAGGCGGTTGTAGGGATAGGTTTAAAGTCCACTTAAAATCTTTTATATTGAGATAGACAATTCTCATCTAATGTAATATTAGATGTTGAATTTAATGTGGAAATCTTGATATTTGAAGATTGGAACACATTTTATCATCATCCCAAGGTATGTGTTCAGTACTGCAAGTTAAGGAGGTTGAAATTTTATTTCTTAATAGTTCTTTGAAAAATTACATTTGCAGGTGCAAGAACAAAAGAACTACCTATATAAGCATGAATTTTAGTTGCTTCAAGAAGTTGGGACTTGACTTTGATATGCTTATTGAAGGATGGGACACAAGCTAGTAAAACATAGTGTCATGTTAGAACTTTAAGAATGTAAAATGTTGTTTATATTATATTCATGTATTCACTTAGAATAGAAAGTATTCAATCCTTAGTGACACCCAGATTTTCGAATATTTGGAATGAGTAATATACTAATGTGAAATTCAATCGTCATGATATTTCATTTATGCATCAGTTTGTTGTTATGTTTTTTGTTTTAAATTAATCAAGATTACACTTAAATGGGGAGGTTTGTTGGTGATTTGTTTCACTAATGTGATTTAAGTTTAATGAGATTACTTTGTTGACCAAAAGTGATCTTCATAAATATTAAACAAGGAAAGTGTGGAGTGCATACTTGTTTAGGTTTATTCAATATTAAAAGTATACTGTCATTTAGAGACGAAGCCCCCTAAACGAATGGAGGTCCGGGGGCAACACCCCTGGGAGCGGGGTCCAAGGGGTGGCAGCCCCTGGCGGGGTCCAAGGGGTAGAGCCCCTGGCTGGGACCGAATTTAGAAAATTTAAAATATTTGAAAATGCATCAGAAATCCAAATTTAGAGTATTTGACCCGTTTTTTTTTTTTTTTGCTTGGTATTAATCCTTATAGGAAATCCAGATTTATGACAACTTTTTGACTGTTGCTAAACTGTTTTATGACAGTTTTGATAGTTTTTAGACAAAGGAGGTATTTAACCAATTTTGATCAGTTTTTTCTGTTTTTTTCTCTTTTGAGTCTTATCCAATCAAAGATTAGGGAGTACCACCCAATACTTTAATTTGATAGTGAAATCACAATTCTCAGAATATCCAAGGGGGTGTTTGGGATTACTTTTTGAACTTAAAAGTTCTTTTTGTAAAAGTTCTTTTTGATTTTAGCTTTTAAGGATGCAAAAACCAAAAGTTGTTTTTAAAAAGTGTTTGGGTTACATTTCTCGACTTTTGAATATAATTTAACTTTAAAAGTTTAAAAGTCACAAAAGTCACACTTTTCCGACTTTTGAAAACTCATCTTTTATTTTTTACAAAAGTTGTTTTGTAAAGAACTTTTGTATCTCTGAAACATTTTTTTAACTTTTTAGAAAAATTAAAAGACAGAAGTCATTTAAAAAGTAATTCCAAGCACCCTCCAAGTGCCTTTGTTACCCTGAAATTCTAACATTGTTATTTCCGACCCATTCAGCCATAAATATATGATTTTTGGATTTTATGGAAAAATATATCTTACGAAGAAATACTCATTTTTTTTATGGAAATCAAACAGTCTTTCAAATTCATTCAGTTAAAAATATAGGTTTGAAAATAGAAAAATATGAAACCTTATATGGCTACACCCTATAATCAAAATGGAGTTGGCTAAAAAGACATCCTATTTGACCATTTAGACAACCCTAATTAATTTTTGAAATGCTTTTATTGGTTGAAATTGCATTGTTTTCCGAAAAAATTGATTACAAGTAGTTGATTATAAGTTGATTTTTTATAAAAATGATAATAGGATGTCTAAGAGGTATCTTATTAGCAGCACCCAATCATGTTTGAACATAGAAAAATATGGAGGCTACACCCTATAATCCCTTAGCTGTAAGCAAAACAAATATAACTTTTCAAAACCACGTAAGCTACACGTGTTAAAAAATTCTCATAACCATGATAAGTTTTCTCAACCGTAAGAACCATGCATTTATGTAATTTTCGTCAATAAACAAATAAATGGAAATCCCATATTTAATGCACATAGTATCTTATATAAAGCATAACAACGCAGTTTCATAAGCACACGAAAAGCCACAAAGCATTCATGTTTCTATAAAGTATAGCCTCTTCGAATCCTATAACATCTTTAAACTCAGTTCAATAACCTTGAAACCATGGTCAGGCGAAAAGCATCAGAATCCCCTTTAGCTATCTACTGTTGGTTCGTTCAAGTTCTGATAGTTTTAAGCATGGTGGCAGTCGTGATTTGGCTAATCACAAAACCACGAAACCCTATATTTACCATCACCGCCATCCAAATTCCAAAATCCGGCAACCGGAGCCTCACAAACGAAACCCTTCGAAACAATTCAGTCAATCTAGACCTCGAGATCACGAATCCCAACAGTGGCATTACAGTTTGTTATATTTTGATTGATGTGAAGTTATACAATGATGGTGTTCTTTGTGGGAGTAAGTCGCTGGGTTCTTTTTGTCAAAGGCAAAGGAAGACTGTGACGCAGGAGGTTTTGATTGATGCTGACCGAGAATTCCGGGCAGGAAACGCCGGCGGTGGTGCACGGTTGAGGGTGAGGGTGGAGACTATGCTTAAATATCATAGTATTTTAAGCTGGAAAATGAAGATTCATCATTTGGGTTTTGAGGGATTTGTGAGAATTGGTAACGAAGGGAATCTTACTGAGAATGTATATCTACACAAGATACCTTTGACGCATTGAGTAAGCAAATTCAAAGGGTTTGTGTGAGATGTTCTATATTTTGTTTGTACTTTTTTTAAAATAAAATTTAAACTGCAAATATAAATATTAAAGTTGTTTAAGAATGGAGTGTTCTTTATCTTTATAACGAATAAAAGACTGATCTTGGTGTGGTGTGAGTTGGTTTACGACCGGCTACAAGGGAGAGGAAAGAAGACTCTCTCTTCCCTCCTTCGTCTCATCTCTTTTTGTCTCTTTTTCTTCATAGCGTAAACACCACATCAATATGTTAGTGGAATCCATAACAAATCAAGGGGTAAAGATACAAATTCAATCTAAACTTTCATTTTAAACCTCTCTTTCATATTTTTATTATCTACCCTAACTATATTAATATGTATTAACTTAGTTTATTTTTATTTATTTATTTAGAACCACCAACATATACACATTCTATCATATGATAAACTACACATCTTGTCTAAACTACATATTTCGTCTACAACAAGACGTGAACCCACAACTTGAGACTGAAGGATACCTTTCACCAATGATACCGCTAACAAAAAAAATTATATAGGAAAAGATAATATAAATGACAACATTAAATGGATTTTGTCCATACACTTAAAAATAAAACAAATACCAAATATATTTTAACAAGTTTTAATGTCATATTATATATATATATATATATATATATATATATATATATATATATATATATATATATAAAATCTATATTGATTTCTTTTTATTAAGATGGATAATATGTTTTACAAATAAAATATAACTATTTGTTTTTGTTATATGATTTAAAATAGAGAAATAAAAGTTGAATAAATAATACAAATTATGAGACCCGTTTATAAATCTGGAAAATGTTTATGAATGGTAAAAAGAGATTAATGATTTGTAAGAGTTTATATGTTGCCAAGGGTGGATGGTACGCCTTCAGGGAAGAGGAAATCGTGAATTCGTGATTGACCGAAAGAAGTTTATGATCTACTCAAAGTAAGCAAGGAAGAAAGGGAGGAAAAGAAGGTAATGGTCTTCACGAACTAGGAAGGAAATAAAGACGAATATTAAGGTGATTCGGGAGGGAAGTGATGTCTGAGGGAGAGCTACAGGAATTAGTCCTTCATCTCCAACAAGAGATGCACTAAAGTTAATCTTCATGATCAATGATAGCACTAAGTCCTTCTAAAACTATTATTTTTCAGGGTTAATGTCAGAAAGTAACATCTTATAATAATTAATTTGATTAATTTGGTTGTTGAAGTCACTTATGTTTTATCTGTATTCAATAAATTGTTTGGTTTTCCATTATGTCGGTGAAGATAACTTCAATTACGTAAACGATTTTCCATAACAGGTGGCATCCTTATGTCCACGTGGTGTTGTTATGACGTCTACATGACTTTTTATTTAAGCTTATCGTGATTTCATGCCAACTACATATCTATTTTTGACTCGTTTCGTACTTACCTTTTTAATGTGATTTCATGCCAACCGCATTGACAAGGATGACACTTATTATGGAAAACCATTTACCTAATTGAAGTTATCTTCATTGGCATAATGGGAAACCAAACAATTTATTGAATACAGTTAGAACATAAGTGACTTCAACAACCAAATTAATCAAATTAATTATTAAAAGATGTTACTTTTTTACATTAACCCTGACAATATTAGTTTTAATAGTTAGCATTATCATTGACCATGCAGATTAACCTTAGAGCATCTCCTGTTGGACCTCATTTTGAGGTGCATAGCGATTTCATACACACACTCACACACACACACACACACACACACACACACATATATATATATATATATATATATATATATATATATATATATATATATATATATATATAGGAATAATCACTAGAGAACCTATAGTTTCCTAAGAATCCGAGAACTAAAGATGGGACGTTAGATCAAAGTTTTTAATGGCTTAGATCAAATATGACATACTTGTAATTATCAACACTTTTAATAGTACCTTACTGTCACAACTAGGAATTTTGATGCCTTGTAACATTGAACAATGATAACAAATATGAACCAACAATGTGAAAGCATGTATGACGCTTATTCAATAACAACGGAATTTCAATCAAACACTTCATACAAGCACTACAAATAGTCAACAAATAATTGGAAACCCTAGAAGTCCTTGTTTAAGTCCATTTTGGATTAGGATTTCCTTATTGGGCCTAATGGGCCAATAAGCTTCCAATTTGACTATCTTGGGCTTAGAACTCTTAAATGGGCTCTAATTGGACCCACTTCCATATATTTCAAATATTTTGGGCCATATTGGGCCTAGGATGAAATAAAATACCTAAATGAACCTTATTGGGCCATAACTAACCTAATTTAGCCCTAATAGGTCATAAAAATCATATTTATGTTTATTTGGGCCAAAAATCACCTAACTTAACCATAAAACGGGCTTAATCATTCAAAGCCCAATTTTTTTTTCTTTTTCCCTCTCCATTTTTAGCCCAAAACCACAAGAGAAAGAGGAGTCGACTTTCTCATTGCCACCTCATTTTTACTTAATGGTTTTCCATGCAATTCCCATACACCCAAGTAAACATATCACCAATCTTCTCTCTTCCTCTCTCTCTCTTTCCTTCAGCCGAGAGCAAGAGAAACATACACACTTCACAACAAAATTCTCTCTAAACCACTCAAGAATCATCCACTCTCCTTCATCCAAAAATCTCAAAATTTCTTGTGTTTCAAGAGGTTTTCACCAAGTAATTCATCATCTAAGGTAAGTTGATGACTAATCCATGATCTAGCTACTTCATTTCATCAAAAATCTTTTCTAAATCCATTCAATCTTGTGATGTTGCACCTTAGAAGCTCTTTAAGTTCGAGATCTTCCAAGAAAGGTTGCTAAAGCCGAAAATAACAACAAACTTTTCTCTTTTCTTCTTCAAATCGAAAACAACAAGCAAAGGTGAGTTTCATACCCCTTTCTTTACAGTTTTTATGAGTTTTATGGGGGAGAATACAAGAAAATGTGTAGATCTATGTGTATATGTATGCTATGTGTGATTTGATGCATGTATGTGTGTGTTATCATGTGTTTTGTGATGAATATGATACCAAAAAGGGGTGTAAACCCGAGATCTATGACATAAGAAAAGAAGCAAGCATAATCTAGGCTAACTTACACTAAAAAAGTCAAGAAAAATGGTTTATAAGGTCATGATGAACATGTTCTAACATAAAACCCATTTTTGGGGTTAAATTGTCAAAAATACAAAACTAGGGGTACAAATCAACAAGTCACGGTCTCTTGAAGGTTAAAAGGGTCAAAACAGTTCCTACAATTATTTTTCTGAACTTTAGGAATTTCAAGGGACTTAAAGTGTAAATGTTCGGCCTAATGGGCTATTTATGGGCTTTTCAGCCCAATAAGCCTCAAAATTGCGAAAATGATAAGTTGAGGGGTTGGAAATGTAATTTACTGTAAAACAGGGGGTAATTACCATAAAAAAAATGTTTATAAGGGTCAAAAATTCTTTTCACTAACAAAAAGGATGAAAAATGTAAACTTTTTAGATTTTGGGCCAAAACTATAAAATTTATGAAAAATGGGTCCTTAACCGAGAAACACTCTTCTGGAGGGGCTGAAGCTATCAATAAAGTAAATTTTGGGTTAAAATTGTGTTTTCATCAAATAAATAATACAAAAGTGTCAAGAAAAGGGTTTTAAGGACCTAAAATGAAATTCTTTTATATAAAAAGGACTAAAAGTGTTATTTTTATAAAAGAAGGGTAGTGAAAAGGGTCAAATTCCACTTTCAAACAAATTGATTCATTAATAAATACAAGATCCACTACTACCGACGAAACGGAAAACAAATACGCTCTCAACAACAAATATCGTTACAAAATGAATTGATTCGGTCTCGAATCTATAACAAAACAAAATCGTAGAACCAAAGCATTTCAATAAACACGCGATAATTATGATCAGCTAACTTACAAACTTTGGGCTTGGAAGTTTCAAATCATGCTTGTTGGGCCTTGCTAGCCCATTAACATGATCTTTGGGCCCGAAGGGAATATGCTTATGTGTTATTAGGCCTCCTATGACCTAATTCCATGTAAAAGGACTTTCAATAGCTCTAATGTGCTATTGGGCCCTAGTAGCCCATTAGTACTGCTAGTGAGGTCGAGAAGTCAAATGCGAATTGGGCCAAGTGCCTTTTGCATTCCCGATAGCCTTGAATAACTTATGGAAATAAAGGGACTTCGTACTCTCCTATCTCCTCGGTTGTTGGGCTTATGAGAAATCAAAGTAAATAGATTCAGGACGATAAACAAGAGTAATCAGGGTGGGTGGATTAAGTGAGTAGTAACGGCTGATGCCTCTAAGGATCGTTCGTAATTTGTAGTTATAAACTAGTCATTTTCTTTAATGCGTGATTATGTCACACCCCCAAACCAGAATGGTGGAAACATTCGGGGGTGGATGACTTCACGTAGTACCATAACAATTGAATATCGTAAAGCAAGTACACAACCATCATATATATAATAAAAATGTACATTGTTGCGTTATACATATTTCCAAAAGAATATTACAATATGATGATATAAATGTTTAACGATAAACGTTCTTAGTGTTCCTTCTTCCAAAAGTTGATGGTTACCTGTATTACTGGTTCCCTGAGAAATACAAGTGGTTTTAAAAAAAAATGTCAACAATTAAGTTGGTGAGTTCATGAGTGTTTTGAGTTGAAAAGTATATCCTTTTTGGTAGCAAATCGGTAAATGAGGTTTTTTAGAAAATCCAATATTTTCTATAAATGATTCGAAAAGTTTCCAGAGTTGGAATGCGTTAGTATTTTTCGTACTTGAATGATAAAGATCACTTTGTATGAAAAATAATGTAAAAAACTGTAATGCATATACGAATCTCGTAAATCAAACTTGTTTTTATACTTTTTATGTGAGTTTTATAACCATACTATTGACACTGAATG